AAAGATGCTGAATCATGTGAACCTGAAATAAAATTGAAGAAGAAGTAGAACTAACCTCAGGTTGACTTGGGGGCGGGTGGGGGGGGTCACCGCACTTCTCAAGTTCCTGTTGTAATAACAAAATATTCCTACAGATGTCATTATGTATAGAAAATGAGTCAAGTAAATACTTTAAGTCTGAGCAGAGCAAATAGTACTGTTTGTGCAGCTGCAAGTCCAATTCTCATTAAAATAATGCCATAGGTTTGATGGAAAAAATAAAAAAACACTTTTTACTTTGAAAATAGGCTATTACTCAAGTATCTACAAAAATAATATAAACCCATTTTTATCAAAAATCGTCAGAACATCTGCATAAAAAGCTAAAAATTGATTCTTCTGATTTTCAATAGGGTTCATCCTTGGGTGATAAACACTCACACCTAATTTGATCAAAATTTGCCAAGAATTGCACCTTCTAGAGTGTTTTTGAGCATTTCAAGAACAAGGGCAATAACTCATACTGAATATTTTTCGATTCCTCTGATTTTCAGTAGGGTTCACCCTTGGGTGATTACAATCATATCAAGTTGTGTCAAAATCAGTCAAGAATTGTGCGAGCAATTGTGGACGGACGGACATTGGTGACGGCAATTTCGCGCCCCATTTCATGTGGGTGTATAAAAAGAACATCTTGAAGACGAGAACAAATCTAGTCCCTGTGATAACCACGCCCCTTTCTATAAATTAATGTTATTACACTGTAAATTCAGCGAGTGTATGACAGTGAGAACTTATAGGATACAAATAAAGGTAGTAACTCACCTGGAATTGCTAATTGGTTTAATGGAGTTTCATGTAAATTGACTGGAATTTCACCCATCCAATTTTCATTATTAGGAAATGTTTTCTCTGTAGCCGCCATGTTTATTAGGCCTACAACGGAAATAAATGGGTTGTCTATTTACCGTAATGAAAACTAATTTACCGAAATGTCAAATAATAAATTATAACCAAAATTATTAACTCAAGTTACTTTTTAGCAACTATAATTTAAAGCTTATGGTGGTTTTATTATTTATTTCATTTTTTTGCAGAATGTCTGGATTTTAAGCACTTTCCAGAATAGTAATGTAAATGGAAAAATTAATAAGACAGATGGTATTTCAATGGACCCCAGCTAGTAGCCACCAGCAGAATAACGAGGGCAAAGTATTTAGGGCTGCAGCAGAATCTTGTTGCATAATANAATTACATTAGACCTAAG